CCGAGGCTTACTGGCCAGCCAGCCTAGCCTACTTGGTGAGTTCTAGCCAGCAAGACCCTGTCTCAAATCAAAAAGTACACAGTCCCTGAAAATTGACACAAGGTTGTCTTCTGGTCTAAACACACACATGTACATATATATCCCTCCCCCATACATGCAAATATATACAAAACCGCAAAATGAAAATGTTCTAGAATTCTTAGGTGAATTTTATATTTATGAAAGTTTATTGACATCTGCTTTTTATTTATTGAACTAAATTAGATAAGTGTTTGTGTTTCAGTGCTTTATAATATTTTACCTTCATCTCAGAGGAAAAGATACCATCCAGTTTTTATTGCCTAAATTTTGCCAAGTCATACAGAACAGATTAGGAATTTTTCAAAATTATATAATTCAAGTAAAGCTGAATTTAATGAAGGATGAGGAACAGCCTAATAATAGACTTTACTTCAGGAAGTCATTATTCCAGGAAATTACTTGAATTGAAAATACTAGTTATTATTTTAAGGATTAATTGCCTATGCTCCTGTCAAGGCAACTTACGATTATGTCTGATCTTAATGAGTAATAATATAAAACTAGTGGAAATTTACAAAAGAAAAAGATCTGTATATTGCAAGATATATAACATACACTAGTGACAAAATGTTATATCTTTGGATGTCTGAAATACTCATAAAAGCAGTAATGAAGCATTAACACAAATAACAGAGAAATAACTGATATATTTTTTCTTTGTTTTTGTGAAGCAGGGTGTCAGGATGTAGTCTTGTCTGGCCTGGAACTTGATATGTAGACCAGGCGGGCCTTGAACCCAAGTGCTGGGATTAAAGGCACACACCACAATATCTTGCCAGATGAGGTCACAGGACACCTTTCTGTTCTTAGTTCTCTCCTTCCACCTTTATATGGATTCCAAGGATGGAACTCTGGTCATTAGACTTCCTTTACTCTCTGAACTGTCTTACCCATTTCAGAAACCTTTTTGCTTAAATGTACCATGAACCTTAGAATTGTACATATTCTTTGATTCAGTAGTTACCTTTCAAGTAGCCTATCCTAGGAGAAATTTTCTTTGGCCAAATAATTAATTATAAATAAAAAAAGCTAATTTCAGCTGGGTTGATGGTACAGAACTGTAATCCCAGCTATTGGGAAAGCTGAGGCAGATACATTTTAAGCTCAAGACCTTTCTGGGCTACAGAGTGAGTTCTTTTCCAGTCTGTGCAACTTAGTGAAACCCATCTTTAAAATAAAAATATCAAAAGGCAGCCAGGGATATAACTCAGTTATCGAATGTTTGTTGGCCTGTGTAAATCTCTAGGTTCAATTACTTGTACTACTGCCACACAATCTCTCTCTGTGTCTCTGTCTCTTCTCTGTCTCTGTCTCTGTCTCTCTCTCTCTTACACACACACACACACACACACACACACACACACACACACACGCGGCTTGTTGCAGTATTATAAAAAATGGAAACAGCATACATATTTATTATTGAGATAATACATAAATCATGATGTATTCAGTTCATTTGACTACTATCTGACATTGAAATACTTTCATACAATAAACAGGTTTAACATAATTTATGAAAAATAATCCCTAGTCTAGAACTCCTTTGAATACCACCATTACCACTCAAGTAGAAAATTCCATTCTGACTTCATATAATAGGATGTAGACATTAAAAGTACTTAATATTCCACTGGGTGGTAGTGACACATATCTTTAACCCAGCAGTTGGGAGGCAGAGGCAAGTGGATCTCTGACTTAGGGCTACACAGGAAAATCTTATCTTGGAAAAAATGCTGTATATGTAGAGGTATTTACACCAGCCAAGACTGATGACCCGCGTTCTGTCCCAGGGACCCACATGGTAGAAGGAGAAAACTCCTGCAAGTTGTCCTCTAACTAAAATACACACACATCATGTCATTTGCATGTGTGTGCGTTTGTGCACAAACACACACTAAACATAATAAATACATAGTGTATAGGATTGCCTTCAGGTTATATGTATAGGGTTCATGTTAAAAATAAATTATTTTTATGTGTGTGGGTGTTTGAGAGTCACGTATACCTGCAAAGGCCAGAGTGCTGGATCTCTTGGAAGCAGTTACAGATGATTGTGAACTGCAGCCGTTTGGGTGTTGGCAATCAAAGCTGATCCTCTGGGAAGAGCAGCCCCACATAATGGGTTTATATTATGTTGGGTCTCATCTCCAACATATCTTTACATGTATACACACAAAAAATTCCAAACATTGAAGAAACATTTGAAATGTTAAAACACATGTAGTACCAAACTTGTCAGATAAGATATGTGTATATGTATCTTTTACTTAAAATATTTACTATATAGTGAGTGGTAAGTGAAAGCAGGGTACTAAAATACATGCAGAAATGTGGGAAAGTACCAGGAAGCTAACTAGTAGGTCTTGCCAGATAGTGGACTGAATATGTTAATCTTCTTCCCTCTTTTCTTATTTCAATATTGTTATAGTGAGTCTATATAACATTAGTAAAAGTTATTCAAAGGGCCAGAGAAATGCTCCGTGGTTAAGAGAACTTGTTGTTCTCCAGAGAAACTGAGGTCAGTTCCCATCACCCCTGTCAGTTCGCTCAGGTGGATCACAGTGGCCTGTAACTGTAGCTAGCGGTGTCTGATGGCGTCTTCTGCCCTCTGTGGGTACCCCCACACACACACACACACACACACACACACACACACACACACACA